AAAGTCGTGGGAGTTAATGCTTGAGAACGGTTGTTTATGGAATGGAGTGATCCGAGAGCGTCGCGACTCACAGAGAGATCGATAGAACAAAATTAAGACGAGGATTCTCAATCGCGATACGCTTCCTTGCACGATATCACATTTATTCCGATCGTCGTGTATATTTTATTATTACTTGCCTCTCCGAACAGTTTATTCCCGAATCACGTTTCAAGTTGTTAATAAACTACTAAAAAGGAGATTGCGAAATTTATTATGCGAGAACATCTCGTACACACCGATTATCCGAACAAAAATTGAGTTTAACTAATTACAATAAAATCTCGATTATCCATATAAAATTTTCAAACAAAAAATATATATAAACACGAAATAAAACCAAAAAAAAAACAAGGTAAAAACAAAAAAAAAATATATATATAAACATAATATATACAAATTTGTGATAAAAACTCTTACAATACGCAAATGCTTTTCTCGGTCTTTCGTTAACTCTCTTCGGGTTATCGATCGTCAAGCGAGAATCAATGCTCGAATAATCGGCGTCCAAACAATTGGCGCGCGTTCCGCCGTTTATTTTTGGGACTTCGATTTCTGCATTAATTGCGACTAATCCGATTAGCTTCGACAATCCGACACGCACAATCAACGCCATCGCTGTTGCTCACATTTGTCATTTTTTTTTGTTTTTTGTTTCAATGGCCGAAACTCGTTTGCGTGGTACGTCGTTTGTACGCGGCAGGAAAAAATTGTGGTTCTGATAGGTTCTTGAGAATATCTCTTCTGTTCGAATATTGTTGTTTTTGTTGTTGTTGTAACAAGTTGCTCGCGCTCTCTTGTCACTCTGTCTGTTTCTAACGCTTTGCGAACTTGAAACGATCGTTACTTTGGTGAATGTGCAATGAAGCTCTTATTTTTCTTCGTTTTCTTTTTGTAGCGTCAGCCGATCTTACACACGGGAGAATGACAAACACAACGGAAGGATGGGGAGAGAAAGGGAGAGAGGGCAGATTGCTATTGCTGTGTGTATGTTTGTTTGTTTGTGTGTGTGATCGAAACCTTATCCATCTAAATTCAACAACTAGAAACAGAAACATTAAGACCGCAGCCGAATATACGAGAGAGTCTCGATTCATTACGAGTGTGGAAGTTCTTTGTGCAAGCCTATTTTTACCTATCTCTCGCGTTTGGTGCGCGTGTATATACGTGTGTTCCTCTGTTTGCCTCTTTTTTTCTCCCCTTCTTGTTTTTTTGTGTTAAGGATTTTTAGGTCACGAGGGTGTAAGCCGTAAAACGCGTACGCTCGAGCAAGCGGAGAGTGTGGAAGCGGTCCGGGGAAGTTATTACGAGTCCACGAATCGCTCGCTGCTTGGTTGCTGGCTGCCTCGGTATACTCTTCTATACGTACATACATATATACACGGCTGCTGCGCAAAAACAATGTATTCGAAACATTACTCAACATACATACTTAAAACTTCGCAGAGAAGAAGAATTCGCTGACACAGTCGAATTTGTCACTGTCGCAGCGAGTATTGTTAGTCGCTTTTACAGTACGAGCGGCCAAGAAGACTTGTCACGAACACAAATCTTATTTGTTGGTAAAAGTTTTCCGCGGTGTATGTGCAAACGATCTCGTTTAAATGACAAATTAACACGTTGAACTTCTCCTTGCACTTTTACTGTATAATATAAACACACACAATGTATTTTTGAAATGTAACACAATAAATAACCGCGAAAAAGTGTGATATCGAATTCAAAGAAATTGGTGACGTTTGGCAAATTTTTGTCGTTTTCGGATAAATAATAGCAGTGACAGTTCTGCTGCGACAGGAAAATTCTTTTTCTCGGTGTGTGTTGTGTGTGTGTGTGTAAGAGAGTAGAAATCGCAGAAAAATGCTTTTCCTCGCGCATGCGAGGGAAAAACCGCTCCGCGCACGGACAATGATAAATTTATACTTCCGAGAATTTCGTTTTATTTTTTTCTCTCGGTAGAGATGACGAACACACGTGCCTCTGTATGTGTGTATGCGTACATATATTATGTGTGTGTGTGAATGTGTATACGTGTGCACGCGAGTTTCCTTCTCTATCTCAAATGTTTGATAAAAGAAAGAACATATTTAAATACGTGTCTATAAATATATCACAATGATTCTCTGTTCAAAAATATAACACAGAACACCAATGTTCGAATTCACTTTGAAAATTTGTAAAAAAAAAAAGAAAAAAAAGAAAAAAAAAAAGAAAAGAGAATAAAAAATCGGCACAATCTCAACTCGGAAGAGAGAAACGAAGAACACACTTGGCACTTAATTACAGTACGCACGATAAAATGATGTATCGTTTGCTGTCGCATCGCCGCATTCTTCTGCAGTTTCTCTCCGCTTCAAGTGTCACACAAAATTACGGTCCACAAAAATTCTCGTAAATTTAAACAAATTGCTAAACAAAACAACAGACCATACAATATATCACTCAAGAACCCAAAAGTTTGATACACATTTTGTTTTCATTTCTTTTAAACGCGAGCGCGCGCATAAAAAATGCCCTTTCTTTATTTTTCGATAATATATTTGCGCCCCAATCACACATCTATTTTTGTGAGATATATATCATGTACAATTCTTCCGAAATCACAAACCGCATTAATATACATATACATATACATATACATATATATATATATATATATTACTCTTCCGAATCGATAAGCTCGAAGGCAATTTTTATGCGCCGTTCCGTCATATATATAACATACAAAAGATATATATATATATATGTGTATATATATATATATATATATACGCATATACAATAACGAGAATTATATTATTGAATTTCTCGAACGAAAAATCCGCAATAATGATGTCTCGTGACAGTTCGCTCTCCTCTACTTATCTATATATGTATACCACTTGTGTAAATAAAAGTGATTTCGGTCTAAAATTATATCGCTAATAGGCGCTTCCTTTTCTTTCGCGTGGGGAGCGCGTATGCCGCTCCCCGGAAATATTACAGTAATGCGATTAGACTCGTTTACTTTACTAACGTAATTAATTAAAAAAATCGGATTACTCTGAAAAATTCGAAATTTCTTTTTTAAAAACTGTTCTTTTCGGACAGTACATTTCGAGCGCTTGTAACTTTCGCATTTTTTTTATTTTTTTTCTCACTGGTATACACCATCATGTACACCCGCATGTATGCACACACTCTTGTCTTCACACATCGCTTTTTTCTCTTGGTTTTTATTTAACTTCGAAATCTTCAGTCCGTACTTAATTATTATGCACTTCGCCCGTGGAGGCAACTCGTTAGAGCCATCGTCACACAATTTCTTCACCACCGCGATTAATGGAACTGTTACAATTACGAGATATACGTTTTACATCGAAAAAATTAGCAGAACGCGCGTTTTTAATCTTTCATTTTTGATTTATTCCACCTGTGTGAGTGTATATCACATATTTTAGACATTTGTTGCACGCTCATGTCTTCCAGATCTTCATAATGTCGGATCCCCCGGTTTTGTTCTTCCCTTCCTTTGAGATTTGTACCGCACAGACTTGACAAATTGATTAAACGAGTTTATTCAATCGAAGTTGCACTTAATTGTTCACGTAACATTCCGTGACGCGTTGATTTGCTTTTTTACGGTCTTCTCTTGTTTATTCCTCGTTGCTGCGCAAATTAGTTTTTTCAATTCCGACAAGCGTGACACTCAACACACACTGCTTACGTTCTTATTTTCTTTTTTACACTGATGTAATTTTAATAAGTCTTTTTTTTAATAAGTCTTTGTTCTTTGTATCAACTTGTCTGAGTGCAAACCGTATATTTGTAATTTGCTTTATGTTTTTTATTTTAAATTATTATATGGTGTTTGATGCGGTTCTCCGTTTGAGAATGGGCAATAAGACTTGCAAGTATCTGTATTATCCATTCTCAATGTCACTACTTCGCGTTCGATATACACAATTTACATTCTGGATACACTGGTTTCGCACTGTGTAAACTCACGTTCGTCTTATCTACGTTATCGCGACTTTGAATTTTAAGCAGTTCGTTAGAGCGCACACATTAGGAGGCGAAAAGTGTCTTTTATTATATGGCGTATACACATGTTTTCTTCCTCCCTTTTTTTTTTTTTGTTCTTTTAACCCTCGATTTTACACAGATCAGCACTGCGCTTATTTTATACGAAGATTATTATTATTATTTTTTTAGAGAATTGCGGAATCTTGATAAAAAGGACCACGTGAAAAGTTGGATTACTCTAGCGTTTCCTTCGTTTAAATTAATTTGATATACCTAATATTATATTGTAGTGTTTTTTTTTTTTTTACATATGAGGATTTTCTTTTGTTACTTTATTACTATCGCTTTTTGGCGATTTTTTTTGATTGCCGAGTTCTTTATTGTTCTTTCGATCTCACAAGAAACGCGATCTCCCTCTTAAAAATCTTTAACAAGAGCCACTTGAAAACAGAAATAACGGTATTTGCAATAAAACTTAATCAGTAATGCATACAAAACAATTGTCTTCTATCTCTTACTTCGAAAAAAAAAAAATATATATATATATATAATTTATCCGTCAATTAATGCTCGAATAAAGTTATATAAATACTTTTTGTTATATACTTACATATATGTATTATATTTAATCATCCACATTTAAATACGTTAACATAGATACGCGATATGCGCAATGTAACAAAAACTTTGTTTTAGGCACGTATATCAAAATCTTCCAGCAGAAGATAATAAAAAGTGAAAATTATAAGAAACAATATAGATACACAAGTAAGAGAGATAATGAGAGATAATCTCACTAATCTCGACGAGGTAAAAATAACTAAAAAAATTGCATTGTAATGTATAATGTATAATATACATAATATTCATACGTAGTATATTAGTAATATATATTAGTATTATAAGTAATTAAATATGAAACATTGGCAAATATATATAGAATATATGTATTGTCAAGTTTCATACTTAATGACCTAATATTTATATATATTATACATTATATTATTTTATACTTCACGTAACGTTGTAATTTCACGTGCTAACATTAATAATAAAATATCTTTGCAAATATAGAAATAGTTTTAAAAGAACAACAAATATTTATGCGGTATGTGTACAGCAGAGAGTGAAGTAGAGATCATTATAAAGAACTCGGCAACGCGGATTACTGCGTGTGCTGGCAATATTATTGGACTTACGGCTCTAACATTGTTTGATTGTTTAAATTAATTTTAGGTTAGTTCCTAGTTGACCATGAGTGTATGCGATTCCATGGGTGCTGCACTATCGTACAACGTATCTGTGTCTTGCGTAGGCTCGCCTTGCAGCTGGCACTGGTTACTCAATGTTCCCGCACCGCAATCGCAAAAGAATCTAGAAATATTTATGCAATAATAAAATGGTCGCGCGATTCGTGTTTATCGAGTGACGCATAAGATCAAAGCAATATCTCTTACCGGTCGTGTCTGATGAATTCCACATCGTGGCCAGCGTGACAGGTTTTTATACAATTAACACATATCGCATTGCGGTCCGTCGTGTTGCACGTTTGACAACGATAAAAATCGTGCATTGGGAAAGAAGTGTACGATGAGATTTTATACAGACATTGTCCATTTCCAACAGCTTTCTCCACCGCGTCTTGATTATTAAATATTTTATTGCCTAAAAAGAGTGCGCGACGGTTTTAAGTTCTTTGTTCTCTCACTGTAAGAATGACTTTCGCAAGAAACAAAATATTTACCTCTAGTCGTGGGTTGCACTCCGCTCGCCAAACATAGACCGCCGAATCGATTATTAAATATTTGATTAAATTCCAGTGTGGCTGTGGCGTTATTGGTTATTTCAACGCCGGCTGCCAATCCGTCGAAAATCCGATTTCTTCTCAAGATCGGCTGCGACTGCGTCGAGATCAACACTCCCGCTTGTGCATTGCGAAATATGTCGTTTTCTTCCAAAACACCTAAATTTTTTGAAACAAACATTATGAATGTTCTTCAAATTACATTTAAATAAATGTTTAAAGCGTACTTTGCACATTTTTAACTGGAAAGCGGTTTCACTGGCCATATAAATTTTATTATCGGCCACCGATATGAGAATTATCGACATTTTGCAAACCCGACATATGTACTACTTTACCTTTGCCCCCGTTAAATATACAGATTCCGCCGTCTCGTCCGTCAAATATCTTATTTCTCTTGAGAGTTGGATTGCTGTCCGTTTTAATCCAAACGCCCGCCATTGCGTTATCGAAAATCTCATTTTGTTCGAGTAAACCTAAGCCACTATTATACACAAGAACACCGCCGTTCTGGCCGCCCCATATCTTGTTGCCGCGTATTACCGGATTACTGCCAGTTCTAGATTAACAAGAAACACGCGTTCATAAAACTTGCTTGATTAACACTACGTTTCAAAAATAAATATCGAAACACGTGAGCTTTCGATTTTTTACGAACGAACGAACAAATTACCTTATTTGTACTCCTGAATATAAATGGTTAAAAATATCATTGTCCTCCAACTTTCCGTGGCCATTGTCGTAAAAATATACGCCGACTTGTTTGCCACTGTGAATTCGATTTCTCCTCAAAACCGGTGTAGATCCCGTCGTGATCCATACGCCCGCCAAGGTATTGGCATAGACTTCGTTCTCCTCTATCAGACCCTGACCTTTCTCGTGTACATAAATGCCACCATGTTGACCATGATGTATCTTATTATGTCGGACAATCGGATCAGAGTTTGTTCTGATCTGTATGCCGGCCAACGCGTTGCCATAAATGTTATTGTGCTCGATCAATCCTCTACCTTCGCCGAATATATACACTCCGCCTTGGTGACCGTTATATATCTCGTTCCGACGTATGGTCGGATTCGAGTTCGACGTGATCCACACACCAGCAAAGTTATTAGAATGAATTTTGTTGTCGATGAATTGTCCCAGGCCGTTTTCGTGTACATAAATGCCGCCAGTCTGACCGTGATGTATTTCGCAGTGAACAACAGTGGGATTCGCACCCGCTTTAACCTCAAAACCTGCTATCCGATTGTTGTGAATGTCATTGGCTTCGAAGTAACCGAGTCCGTTATCGAACGTAAATATGCCAACGTCGCGACCATGATGAATGTGATTCCGTCGCATTATCGGATTCGCATAGTTCTTCACCCAGATTCCGGCTAGGGCGTTCCGCGAAATCTCGTTGTCTTCGTACGTACCTTGCGCGTAATCGGTCACGTACAGACCGACATTTTCGCAATCCGAAATATCGCAATTCTTTACTAACGGATTCGCGCCAACGCCAGACACACAAACCGCAGCACCCACTAAAAATGAGAAAAAAAAAAAAATCTCACAATGTACACATTCCATTTTCTTTAAGACTAATGTAAACAAAGTGTTATCGCGTATACTCACCTACGCTCGAACTTCTGATTATACAGTGATCAACAGTAGGACTGCAATTTTCGCCCACTTCCAAACAATAATGTTTGTGATGAGGCACCGTGCTTGTAACATCGGGTGTGAACTTTAACGTGAGATGTCCAGCGTAAGCGCGCTTCGCACCTTCTACGAACATCATCGTCGACTCGCTTTCTCGTTCGAGAATAACGGATTCCGCGACATTGCCCGGCGCAGCACCAATTAACGCCACGTCGCTATCGATAACGAGAAATTCGCCTCTGTACGTGCCAGCGTGAAGAAACACCAAATGTTGCGTCGATGTGTCCTCTCCATTGGTCTGAGAACTGTTGTTGCAACAACCCTGTCCGCTTGCGGCTGTACTGGCGCCGCTCACCGAGGCACCGCTGTTACTTCTGTACTCGTCCACGTAATCTAATGCGCCCTGAATGGTATTGAAGTACGGCAGATTGCGTCCTTTGAACTTCAAGTCTTGGAACCCGGGTCTGACATGCACACCTCGATATAGCTGCCTGAAACTCTCCTTCCACGGATTTTGATATTCGGACTCGTCGGGCGACACAAATTCAAACTTGCACGACGCCGGATTGAACAGCGGCAGATCATACTCGTAGACCTGCTGATACAATGACTTCCACAGTTCCGTGTCGTTTGCAATCGCCTGGAAGCGTTTGCAGACTTGCGAGACTCGACAAAGATCCTGCTCCATAAGGTAGTTGAATATTGTGAGCAACACCTCATCCGGCAGCTCGTACTGAAGATAATGCGCTGCTGTGTTTGTGTTTATACCTTTTACGCCATAAAAAATTACGTGTCATTAGAACATTAGACAAAAAACACAATAAATAAAATTGAAATTCAAACATTAACCAAGAGAATAGTTTCAGAGTTTTCTTTGATCTATTTAAGAGTATTTTTTTATAGTCTTACACACCACAGAAAAGTGGAATTTACATATTAATCGTAAATTAATTATAAATAATCGTTAATTTAAACTGTTACCATCTGTGGACAGTGAACACGTTCGTCTCGGTCGTTTCCTCGCAGGTAAGTACGACGAACCGACCGTGGCAGCAATACTACTGCCACCCGATGGCGGTAGAGCGGAACTTGTGCCAGGCGCCGGATCCGGATGTGGTGGACTTTTGCGTCTCAAGTCGTATGGGGACGAGTGCGATTGAGGAGACGGCGAAGGCGCAGCCACCCCGGATACACTAGGGGACGAGCCGCGTCCGCCGCTTCCTCCGCCTCCACTGCCAACTCCACCTCCCGGCAGTATTTGATTTGATGCTGGACACGGCAGGTCGCATGCTTCGGCTAAAAAAAGAAAAAAAAAAAAAAAAAAAAAAAAAAAAAAAAAAAAAGCTTGCACTGTGCATTGGAAAAGTTTTTAGAACTGAGAGCAAATTGCATCATTCATTTGAAAAGAGAAATAATTCATGAAAAAAAAACTACATACAATAGAAATCATTTTTTAAATACCGAATAAACATTAAACAAT